GCATCTCTCAATTGCATATTCCTTTAAGAGCGCCAAGTTTTAGGTATGCTTAAAGAGACTCACACGGTTTCCCCAAGACAGAGCATTAATCCTGGGAAATATTAACTTCCTCAACGATAGCATCTTTTTATTACTCTCATTCCCTTCCTTGGAATACCTTGGATGCATCCAGGAAAGTGAAGTGGGGCAATGTTTAAAATGGGATTGTATTGGCAAAGCCACCTAACATTTGTCAGCGCCTGTATTTGGCAGTCGTGAACGTGTTATTAGTCTGTTGTGTTTGCGAGCGCTGAAATCCATGAAACAAAAATTTCGTTTTTTAAAAAAGGGCATTTTTTTGGTTGCATTCGTGGAAACCGAGCCAGCTTGAATCACAAGCTTTCCAAGAGCTTCCGTTAGGCTTTCTGGAATAGGTCCTCAAACGAGAACTTTATCCCCCGGATGCCCGATTTGCCTTCACCGCGTGAGAGAGTCGAACTGTGCCTTTTCACCACCTCATCCAGTCCTGTCAAAAATAATTGTGTGTGTGTGTGTGTGTGTGTTTTAATTTAAAAACCTCCAATTAACTCAGCAGGGAGAACCTGTGAAAGAACTCAGCAAACTTGCAGCAGGTGAGCAACGATTTTGGAACTGATTTGGCCGCACCTCCAGGTAAAACAGATGGCCAGGCATTCCCCTGGGCCTGGGGTGTCGAAGGCACATCACATGTACAGGAGCTGGGCCAGGGACCGCAGCCTGCCGACTGTGTGAGGGAGGGGAAGAGATGATCCAGCAAAGGGGAAGCTGCACATCACTATATTCTTTCACCTCTGAAAGAAAAAGGAGAACTTAGCTGTGGCGAGGAGAAAACCAGAGACAACCCCCTAGGTCAGGGGTCTCTAACGGATGGAAACTGATCAAGGAGAGAAGCAACCTAGAACTAAGGAGAAATTTCCTGACAGAACAATCGGTACAATGGCTTGTCTCCAAAAGTTGTGTGTGCTCCAACACTGGAGGTTTTCAGAAGAGATTGTCTGGAATGGTATAGGGTCTTCTGCCTGAGCAGAAGGTTGGACTAGAACAGGGGTCACCAACCTTTGGGACCTCAGGGACCACCAAACTCATTATTTTAAATCCTGGGGACCACTAATACGAATTTTGACTGACGGTGGCTTGCTGACGTTGGTGGGAGAGAGAGAGAGAGATCTGATTTAACCTCTCTCTCTCCTCCCCCCCATACACACACATACACAAATACACAGAGGTAGGGGTGGGATTCAAATTTCTTAACTGGTTCTATGGGCATGGCCTAATTTGTGGGTGTGACTTGGTCATGTGCCTGGCTGGGCATGGCTTGTATCTAAATATTATAAATATTTATGTAAATATTGAATTTCTTATTTAAAAAAAGAGCAACTTTTATCCAAAATCAGGCAAAGTAGGCAGGCAGATAGAGTTGCTCACAGATTCATTCAGAGATCTATCTGTCTGCCATCGGCTAGCTCAGTCTGTCACATAAAATTTGCTAGCAAGCAAACTCACAAAATTATCTCAGTATGTAAGTATTGAATTTTTTATAAAAAAGGTGCAACTTTTACCCAAAATCAGGCAAAGCAGGCAGGCAGATTGAATTGCTCACAGAATCACAGATTCATTCAGAGATCTATCTATCTGCCATTGGCTAGCTCAGTCTGTCACATAAAATTTGCTTGCCGTGAGTCTGCACTGAATAATAGAACCTTCAGTCCTAAGGGAGGTTCAGCTGTGCTTAAAAGCAAAGCCAAAGACTGACTTAGATAAGATTTTGACAGGTACTGATGAAAAGGTGATTAAAAAATTATATGGATATTTGTTAGAAATTAAACTAGAAGAAGAAGTTAAAGAAACTATGATTGCTTGGGGGAAGAATTTTGGATATGGGATCTAGAGAAATGGCAAAAATTGTGGTCTCAAAATTATAAAATGACAATGTCAACAGCATATAAAGAAAATTTGTATAAGATGTTTTACAGGTGGCATTTCCCCCCCGACAAGAATAGCAAGAATGTTCAAGAATAAATCTGAAAAATGTTGGAAATGTCATCAGACACCTGGCTCATATTACCATATGTGGTGGACATGTATGGATGCTAAAAAATATTGGACTAAAATCCACACGTGGTTGGAAAAAATGACAAAAAAGCATATAGATTTGAAACCAGAGATATTTTTATTGGGAATTTTACCTGAAATATATAGTAAAGAACTGAAATACCTGCTTGTAAATGTATTAACAGCGGGTAGGATTGTATTTGCTAAAAATTGGAAAAATGAGAAAATACCATCACAGGAGGAAAGAAAATATTGGAATGTGCTGAAATGAGTAGATTGACATTTGAAATCAGAGAACAAGATGATAAACAATTTTATAAAATTTGGGATCTATTCTATCAATGGTTAGACAATAAAACATAGTAATGAATTATGTAGATTTTTAGAAAATAATAAATATATAAAGATGTATTCTTATTATATCTACAAAATGATTCTAGGATAGATTTGAGATAATATGAACTGTCATAAAACAAATTAAGTAAAATATTATTTCGTAAAACATGAATGAATAAAAATATAGTCAAATGATTGATTAATAATGATATTAATCTATTTAATACTTGATTGAAAATATGAGATTATATACAATGTAATTGTAATTGAAGACTACAAAATGGAAGCACAAAACAATTTGTAAACCAACCGGCACACTGTATGTATATATATGGAAGATGCCTTGATGTTCTTATGTTTTGTTTGTTTATGTTTGTTTTAAAAACCAATAAAAGTTAAAAAAAAAAGCAGAGCCAAAGATCTAAAGATTAGCTAGAAAGCAAGAAATCCAATGGTTTCTTGCTTTCTAGCTAATCTAAATCTCCTGGCACAACAGAACAGCTGATGGTCATGGGCAAAAAAAAGGAAAAATAGCAACTTAGCAGGCAAGTTTGCCAGGTAAGGAGTGAGTGGGCAGGGAGGGTTCCCGCCGGCCATGTGGGCAGTGCAGCCATGTGTTCCCGTGAAGCCTGGATTAATTGCTTTGGTGGGTGTTCTGGGGGTGACATTTCTCTGTGGACCACCAAAATTTTCTTGCGGACCACCAGTGGGCCGCGGACCACCGGTTGGTGACCACTGGACTAGAAGACCTCCAAGGTCGCTTCCAACTCTGTTATTCTATTATACTGAAATGTTGAATCAGCTGGTGCTCCCCCTTCCAACAGTTCATCAAAATGCTCCTGTGACTCTTTCTGGAACTCTTCCTTCTAGCAGTCTTCTACCACGCCTCCTGAACCTACTACCCTGTCTCAAAATCCTCTCTCTATTATGATGTCCTGGCTCGCTACGTCCAGTTCAACATCGTTCTCCAGCAGGTTCCCTACATTTACCATTAGTGAAAAAATTGTCCTAGGTTTCAGTGAACACTTTGCACCATTTGATTTTGAAAAGTGCCCATGCGAATAAATAAGGCCTCATTCTGGTAGTATGAACTGAACATGCGGCGATTGAAAAACAAGAGCAGAATCGGAATACAATCTTATTATTGCCTAGATGTCCGTCCATCCTTTCTTCCTTCCTTCTTTTCTTTTTTTCTCTTTCTTTCTTTTCCCTCCTTCCTTTTCATTCTCCTTCCTTTCTCCTTGTCTTCCTTCTCTTTTCTTTCCCTCCACTTCCTCCCCCTCCTTCTTCTTCCTCTCACTCCTCCTCCTCCTTCCTCTTCCTCCTCTTCATCCCCTTCCTTCTCCTTTCTTCCTCTTCCTCCTTCCCCATTGTCTTCTTCCCCCTCTTTCTTCCTCTACCCTCTCCCTCCCCCTCTTCCCCCTTCTTATTCACCTCTTCTTCCTCTTTCTCCTTCCTCTTCTTTCTCTCCCTCCTTCTTCTTCCTTCTTCCCCCACCTCTTTTTCCTCTTTCTCCTTCCTCTTCCTTTTTCTTTCTCTTCCTCCTTCTTCCCCATTGTCTTCTTCCTTCTCTTCTTCCTCTCCCTCCCTCCTTCCTCCTTCTTTCACCTCTTCTTCCTCCTCCTTCCTCTTCCTCCTCCTCTTCCTTCTTCCCCATTGTCTTCTTCCTCCTCCTTCCTCTTCTCTTCTTCCTCTCCCTCCCCCTCAGCTTCCTCCTCTTCCTCCTCTTTCTTCTTCCTCCACAATAAAAGGGGGAAAGGGCGGGGCCGTTCTTCCCCCTCGGCCTCCCGTACCCGAGAGCGCGCGCGGGTGCCAGTGTATATATGCATTGGTGGGGTGGGGGGTGCGTGTGAAGTAATTTATTTCCAAGCGGACTCTCTCTCTCTCTCTCTCTCTCTCTCTCCTTTCTTTTATTCTCCCTCCTTTTCCCCTCTCTCCCCCATTCCCCCCCTCACCAGCAAAACCGCTTCGTCCGCCGGAGGAGCGACAACACGACGAGCGGGCGTTCGGTCGCCTCTCCACCACCACCCCCACCTTCTCCCGGCGTTTCGCCCCGCGCGCCTCACAAGTTGCGCCACCCCCCACCCCGACTCGCTCGAGAGCGCGCGCGGGCGCGCGGTGGGGGGGGGGAGGGCGAGGGCGCGAAAAGGAGACACCCCATCCCACTCCACCGTCCCCCCTCCCCACAGCTCGCCGCGCCCCTCAGGCTCGGCGAAGGTGTGTGAGGGGAGGCGTTCGGGCAGGCGGTCTCGGCTGTGCCCCCCTCCCACCGTTTTCCTCCTCCTCTCCCTCCTCCTCCTCTTCCTCCGCGGGGCGGGAAAGGAGCGAGTCGCGGCGTCTCCGGCGGTTGCCAAACTTCGCGCGCTGCCCCCCCACCTCCTCACCTCACACACACACACACACACACACACACCCCTCGGCTCTTCTGCTGCTGCTGCTGTTGCAGCCGCTGCTGCTGGTTCCCCTCCCGCGGCCGGCAGCGTCGTCGCGTCAACTTCCTCGCCTTTTGCCCGCCTGGCGCGGCTGCCCCATCCCGTCTGGCGCGCCTGGATGAGCGGCTGCCCGGTGCGCGGCGGAGGTGGCGGCGGCGGAGCATGGCGCTCAAGCGGAGCTCGTCGGCCCCGCCGGTCCGGATTTATCCTCCGCGGCTTTCCCTCTTGCTGCTGGTGCTGGTGCCCGTGATGCTTTCGGCGGCGGCGGCAGCGGCGGCCGCTTCTTCCCGGCCCGCCTACCCTCGCTTCTCGCCCTTCTTCTTCCTTTGCACCCACCACGGGGAGTTGGAAGGGGACGGCCAGCAAGGCGAGGTGCTCATCTCTCTCCACCTGGCAGGGAACCCCACTTTCTACGTGCCGGGACAGGAATATCACGGTAAGGTTAACCCCCCCCCCCCGTTTTATAAGGGGGTGCGAAGGTCTCGTCGCTCCGAGACCCATCATCCCCGATCAGTGCGATGGGGGGGGTGGGGGGGGAGGAGGAGACCACCAGATTGGGGAAAGGTTATTATTTTTGTGGGGCGCGACTCCGAAGAGATCTCCCCTCCCTTGGCCATCCTGATGTCCGCCAGCCGGTCCCGATGGACTCCGAGTCCCATCATCCCCGATCAGTGCGATGGGGGTGAATGGAGGAGACCACCAGATTAGGGAAAGGTCCTTTTTATGGGACTCGGGTTTGGCCCGTCGTCGACTCCAATGAGACCTTCGGGCCAACGCCAGCCGCTCCCGACAGACTCCGAGTCCCATCATCAGCGATCAGTGCGGTTTGGGAAGGGTGGGGGGTAATAGGAGATCACCAGGTGGGGAAAGGGTCTTTTCGTGGGAAGGGTGGATGCGTGTTTGGGCCGTCGTCGACTCCGAGGAGACTCTGGGGCCAACTTGATGTCCGCAAGCCGGTCCCGATGGACTCCGGGTCCCATCATCCCCGATCAGTGCGATGGGGGTGGGCGGAGGAGATCACCAGATTGGGGAAAGATCCTTTTTGTGGGACTCGGGTTTGGCCCATCGTCGATTCCAATGAGACCTCCGAGCCAACCTGATGTCCGCCAGCCGGTCCCGATGGACTCCGAGTCCCATCCCCCCCCCCCCCGATCAGTCCCAATTTGGGGGGCAGGGGAAGAATCACCAGATGGAGAAAGGGTCTTTTTTTTGTGTGTTTGGGATTTGGCGCGCGTGGCGATGGCTTTGGTGGGGCGGGTGAGGGGGGTGGGGAGCTTTGCCGTCTGGTTTTTGTAGTCCGGGGAAGATCGGGAGGCGAAATTGGGAAAGTTTAGGGTGGCGTTTCGTATGGTCTATGGAGATTCTCGATCATCCAGGGCATGGTGGTCCCAAACATTGCTTTTTTTCTTCCCTCCCCTCCTCACTTGTCTTTCCCCTTTTTCCTCCCCAATGGGTCTTACTATTTGCTCTTGTATTTTATTCTATAATCTAATAAAATGTTCAAATCCCAAAGGTTGCCTTTTCCTGAAGGCAACCGGACTTTTGAACTCTCCCATTTGTGCGGTTCGACGGCTAAATTACTGCGGAATTAACAGCCGAGGCTATTAGTTAACAAGAGAAGAGAAGAGAAGAAGGGAAAGGAAGGGATGGGAAGAAGAGAAGAGAAAAGAAAAGAAGAGAAGAAGATAAGGGAAGGGAAAGGGAAGAGAAGAGAAGAGAAGAGAAGAGAAGAGAAGAGAAAAAACTCCAGTTGCCTTTGGAAAGGAAAAAAAAAGCACCTTTGAAGTCGCATTGTATTTCTGGCACTTAAAATACTTCTCTCCGCTTCTCCCCATCCCGTTTGATGGGACTGGAGCGTGCCGTATATAGAGGGACAAGTACCTTCGCCAGCCGCCTCCCCCAAAACCTCCGAAATCTTAAGAAATTCGCGCTTTCTGCCGCCAAAGTTGAAGATCTCCGCTTTGCTCCAATCGGGGGTTTCGGAAGCGCGGAGATCTGGAAGATGAAAATGAGCGTTTAAGACACTAATACGCCTGTTTTAAGAGGTTTTCAAATAACGTTGTGCTTGTAGGTGCAGGAAATCGCAACCTTCAATACGTGGTAGATTTTTTTCCCCTCGGGTTACGAAAGTCGGGAGGCTTGGGGGAAAAGGAGGACGAAACTCGGGTTCCGATCCCAGTTTGGCCATTAACTTCCCTTGGGTGGTCTCGAATCGCCTGAACTACCTGGGGAGGTAATTAGAAGTTAAAACAGAAGGGAAACCCCCCCGGAGAGCCAGCGAAACCTTCTCCGGGGGGAGACGAGAGGGACAAATTGTCCGAAATAATAGCCTCGGCTGTTAATTCCGTGGCAATTTAGCTGTCGAACCGCATGGCGAGCTGTTTATCGGTGGAAGAGTTTAAAAGGAAGGATGAAAGAGTTGGAGAATGAACTCCGAAGACGACAAACGCGCTTGGGAATTGCCTTCTCTTGAAAGCTGTTTGTGGATTCCCGGAGTGAAACGATTCTGCATACTGCATTGTGTTATGTGTAAGAAGAAGATACATATTTACAGGGAGGAAGGGATGAGTGGCCCCACCCTGAGCCATCAAAGAGAGGGAGGGATGAAAATTCTATATTAGCAAAAGGACGACAGAGGCAGTGCTGCTGGCTGCTTTCTTAAGACGGTGGTCATTTAATGAGGACTTCAAGAAACATTCAGAGGGTGGGGATCAAATAGAAACACACACACACCCCCAACCTTGTGGGCATTGCCTGTAGGTGTTGGCTGCTTGTTTTAACTGTGACATAAAACGAAAATGACTGATTGTGGGTGGAATTGATGTGTTACTCGGGGTTACAAAAGCAAGGAGGTCCTTAGGGGGCTGTGCCTTGTATATGAATTGAATATCATGCCACGAATCATGCCATGAATATCAGTAGCCCAGAGTGAATTTTATCTTTTCCCTTTGTATAAAATTCCCTTTGTATTCCCTTTCCCCTAGTGTATAAAAACTAACTGGTTTGAGGGCTCTCTGAGCATGGTAGTGGCCAGCATGGACGGTGTTTCCTGGTTTGGGCCACGAAATGTCTGCCAGAAAACCACCAAGCTCAAGGAGCCCCCATTTCAACCCTGAGAGCTATAAATATTCTCCTTCAGTGGTACTAAAGTTGATAGTTTCCTCTTGCCATAACAGTTCTTCAAAAGAAACTCTTATTTAGGGAAAAGGATGCAATAGCTAAGCCTAACTCTCAAGATTTGGGGGAGAGATCTTTAAGGCTGTCTTGGGTGGCCTTTGGGATACTTTATTTTTCTTGAATAGATAATTGCCTTTTGGCTTGGAAAAAAAACAAAACCCAGAGTTGAGTGGTGCCATTTACAGGTCACCCAATAACTTCCAGAAGGGCGATCAGCCACTATGACACAAGCCCCACCCACTCCCCCGTGCCACCACTATGATTGAGCTTTGTCACTCTGTGTGACCTCAAGAAAGAGAATTGATTTGACAATACATGCTGAAAGCAAGGCTGGGATGCTCTCAAGTGAACCAGTGAGCCACTTTTATTGGAAGATCCCACATTGTCTATGTTTCCCCTTTCATATTTAAATGGAAGGGCTCCATCAGGCTAAAGTGCACTTCCTTTGGTGAAGTGATTTCTTTTTTCGGAGCGGCAGAAACTATTTTCGTACATAACGGCCCCGGCCCGTGAAAGACCACTTGTGGGTTTTTTTGTTGTTGTTGTTGTGCCGTTCTTTTCTGCTTTTCTCCATTTCTTCTTTCACACCAGGTGCATTATTCTCTGCCTTTCCTTCAGGGTGCAAACTGTCCAGCACTTCAGGAGTTGAATATTTCCCCAGCTGCTGAACCCAACTGCCTTCCAAAAAGCTAAGCAGGGTTGTAACTGGTTACTTAGTTGAATGGGAGACCAAACTCTTAGCATGGCAGGTTGGGGGAAAATGCCCTATAAGAAAGCAACGGCTAAATCCACGGCTAAATGTCCTGGTTTTAACACTAGGAATGAAACTCAACTTGATGGACTCTCAGCATTTGAATAGTTGAGCATTGTCACTGAGTAGAAACTGCTATACAGCAGGGGTCCCCATCCCCCAGTCTGGACTGGCACTGGGCCTTGGCATGCTTGATCAGCATCGGGCCACACAAAAAAAGTGAAGCCCCATCCACGGGATGCAGCCAGCACACAAAACCACACCCCCTCCGGTCCACGAAAAAACCTCTTTCCACGGAACCGGTCCCTGGTGCCCCAAAGGTTGAAGGCCATTGCTACAGAGAACTCAGTAGGTGGTTATAAAAAGAAGGAAATCTGACACTGAGCTATTGCAATATCCAAATAAATTACGATGGTCAAAGCACATTCTGTTGTCTCCAGCAATATCCTCTAACACACTTACAGAAAAAAAACAAGCATCTTTGCATCTTTTTCTAAATGTCAAGGGAGTAGATTCGCAATGCAGCTCTTGAGACCAAAGAGAAGGGACATCTTTAGAAGAGCTTTTCCTACAGATCCTAATATACAGAAAGATTCATAATAAAACATGTTATTCCTCTTTCCTTTGGAGGTTTCAACACCTGCATAACCCATTACCACCATACAGTATAGGCATCTATCCCCAAAGCTATCTTTATGTATTGCAGTGAAGTGGCTTCCCTGTAAATCTTTTATTTTCATGTGAAAATCACCCCCTCTGGCACACCTCAAATATCTCATTTATGTACATATTACGTTTTTCAGTCCAACGCCTCCATTTGATAAAGCAAAGATTCACGTTCACAGTGCACTCATTTCCTAAATAGGCTTATATTTTTTTAAAGCTCATCTCAAAGAAGCTGGAAGGGTTGGTAGAAATGCCTGTCTGTGGGAACAAAGAGGAAGAAAGGAGCAGAGGAATAAAGAAGATTAAGTTACTATTAGTTCGGTTAACTTCTGCTATTTTCTTGATCTCAAAGTTTATGATCAAACAGTTCCAATTTGTTATGTCTTTATTAAACCGCCACATATACCACACAGTTACTTCCTTACCTTTTTGAAGAAAACAGCAGGCTCAAATATCTTGTTCTGCACTACAGTCATATACAGGAAAGATTATCATATAAATGTGGCAGGAGAAACTATAGACAAATCATAGGAAAACGAAACGCAGAGAGACTAAACTGATAATTAAAGGGGGGGGGGAAATGTTGGATACTAAGCAAGACTTCCTTGCATTGATAAGATAACTTTTTTTGTTTTACCACATGTGTTAGTTAGTGTTCAGGCCACAAAAGATAAAATTGTATTTCTTGATGAACTGTAGATTAGCTAGCTTTATCACACTACGGGTGTCACGGGTTAGGCTGCAAGAGATAGAACTCTTCATGGATTGTAGTTCAGCTGTTTAGTGCTGATATATAGCTCTGAGGTTCTTTTGTTCAGGAGCATTTATAGCAAGGCTGTTGG